GCCATGGACCGCACGACCCCGGCGTATAACCTCCGGCAGGAGGCGTTTGGCCCCCCGAGGTTGGGGAGGATGCGTTTAAACGCAGCCCCCGTCCTCTCCAACTTTGGAGCCAAACGTCGGAAGTGTTCAATGAAGTTCCACCGACTGTCGAGGACGAGTCCTAGGTACTTCATCGTCGTCTCGACGCCGATGGTAACTCCTCCCGCCGTTATTTGGGACCCACCCGGAGGTGGCGCGTTCCCGCGGCCATGTGGTATTACCAGTGTTCAACAAACATGGCGTTATTATTATATCATTCCTAGTTTCGATTTTCCAATTATCCCAGACTAACATCTACATAGTACGGGATATGCATAGATTAATATTTACTCGTCTTTCAAGTTAAACCAAACTTCATACGCTAGGTAGGTACTGAGCAAACCATCCTCCAACATTCGTACTCAGCACTTACTAGTAGCAAGTGATTATTATTACCCATACGTTTCAAATCATTTATTTAATTAATCCACATACAGGCACTTCAGCTAAGTCATAATTTATTATGAACGTCCAGAATATTCAAATAGGTAACTTTATCGGTTCTAGCAACTGTAACCATGTCATGGAGCTGTCGACGCGCTTGTTTTTAGACTAACCACCGTAGAAAGTGCACCGTAAGGAGGTCTGTAATCCGCGATAGTCTAGATAAGACACGCAGCCCGCACCGCTGCCGAGATGAACCCACAAGCACCCTTAACAACTGAAGAATACCTGTATAACAAGAACTCCTTTAGTTTTTGCCTTGACTGTAAAATACTGAAAGAAGGTAATACAAAGTACAATTTCTTTACTTGACTCTCAAGTTTCGACCCACGACAAAATCTTGAGGATGGTTCATTTTTATTTCTTCGATAATCTATTTCTGTAGTTCTCGAAACTACTGCTTTGCAGAGACAAAACGCAGCTGACATTGTCAATATGTTGACACATTAATATTGTTGACATGAGGGCTACTGCAGTGGTACTACAAAATTATACGGATCATGGAAGTTCCTATAGTAATTACCGTGTAAATAAATTGTATTTTGTATTGTTCATCAAACTATTGCGAGACGCAACAGAATGTCCTTCTGCTTGGAACATTCTGCCAAAACCTGTATACTAATATACCCAAGGGTAAACAAACATCACTGTTGCCGTAAATCTTAGAAGATAAACGAAGTAGATACCAGCGCATCAATAGGTAGATTCGCTAGGTTTATGCTAGACCTAGACTTTCACTAGGCAAATAATCAGTTTTGTACAATTTGTTTAATTAAAACTGTTCGAGAACAAAATTTTCATAAAAAAAAATCTTTATTCCTACCATACAATTGAAATTTTTAATCCGGGACACCGCTAATAATGGTGTAGGTGTTAATTTAGAATCTAGATGACAAAATGATAAAAAGCACCTATTACTGTGAATTCGTTATAACCTGTAATATTTGTTGTTTTTTTATGGGATAATAGCTGGTAACTGAGCAGACGGATCACCTGATGGTAAGCAAAGGGCGTCGCCCATGGACACCTGGATGGAACACCAGAGGCGTTACAAGTGCGTTAGGAATTTTAGAATTCTTGGGATTCAGGGATTAGGGAGATTGGGGCAGGGGAGAGCGTAATTGAGCTTCCGGTAACCTCACTCACACGACGAAACATAACGCAAGCGCTGTTTCACGTCGGAGGCCGTGGTATCACTCCGGTCGAGCCGGGCCATTCGTGCTGAAGCATGGCCGTCCCACACTGTTGTTGTAGTAATATGACAAACACTCTACTGCCACTTGTTTCCCCTCTTATTTTTACTGTTGTTTTAGTTAGATAGATACCTTTCAGCTATCATCTACAAGGTTACCAACAACATGTTGATTGAACGCACAATAGTCACAAAAGTAGGTAGTAGAAAAGTAGTGAATAAAGTATTTTACTTTTATTTTATTGGACTATTCATATTATCTTAGGAAAATATTAATCACCCTCTCTCGGGTCACCTTGAACCCCATCTCGGTTATTATCGATTTTCGATGAATTAATAATAACTGATGAATATAATTTAGTGCTATTCGCACTGTCAAGAAAAACTAAATACCTATCACCTGCCTATAAGTGACCACTGATGAGCAAATGCCTCTTCTCACAAGGAGAAGCAATAATCACCACGTTTGCTCACGGCGTGTTCGCGATTTCAAGTTTATAAAATGAAATTATAAATCCCTCCCATTCCCTTACCATCTGTCAGTGGTGTCTAAACACTCTTAGAAAGTACTCATAACTCCAAAAAAATTCTCGATTGGTTTTCGAACCGGGTTTCGAACTCATGCACGAGAGGCGAGGGGGGAGAGTTTAACCACCGGGCCACCATGACAACAATGTGCGATACTTATATCATATTAATTATTTATACACGTTATGACAATATTACATGTTCACATCACATTAAAATACGTAAATAATGCCCGAATACTGAAAGGCTACTCAATTTTAAAGTTGTACTTAAGTATCGTGCGTGCAATCAAAGAATTTGTAGTGACACAACTAAATACTTAAGCGCAACTTAAAATTTAGTGGCGTTACAGTATTTCAATCAATATTGTGATCTAAATTTTTTTTTATAAACATCGTCAAATTTCACCGTCGTTCTAAAATTATACAACTAAATTGTAGTTAGAAATATTGATTACGTTAAGCACGTTATAGAATAGATAACAATGAGTCCCTTTACTTATATACTTCTTATTGCCATGACTGGCGAGGTGCAGTTGAACCCAGTTTATATAGTAAGTATAAATTAAGTAGGTAACTATGGTATGGTTCATACATATAAATTATATATTAAATAATTCACGTGTGAATTGAAATGAGCAACAAATTAAAAGATAACCAATGACAAAACATGCAAACTTTTCCCCAATAATTAAACAATGGTTGTCACTATCAAGAGGATATGTCAACTGTCAGCTATTTGATAGAATAGTTTTGAGAAATGATTTTACTTCATGTATTAGTATTTTAAACAATAATCAAATGCTCGTTCACTTGGACTGCTATGATTCTGACGTGGCGACATGTTACCGAAGCCCTTATAATTATTGTTATCGCCCATCAAGTGTTGTCGCTTAAGATCAGTTCGACAGCGGATCCGCAAGACTGGAAAGTAATAGAGGCCCTAGCAGAAGAGTATCCCTACGTGGTCGGTCTGCTGAGTGGCACCAAGGACTATATCTGCACGGGTAGCATCATCAGCAAACGGTCGATACTTACGTCGGGTAGCTGCGTTTCTTATGACCCTAAATATGTCTTGCTAAATACAGCCATGTACAACAAAAGACTTAATAATACGTCCATATTCGAAGTAGCGTACACGAAGCTCCACGCAGACTACATATTTGATTTGAAAACGACGGATCCTAATGTCACCCGAATGCACAGTAATATAGGCTTGGTGTTTGTACTGCCACCAGTTCTGGAACTTTTTGTTATTTCCGCTGATATTGGGAATTATTACGCTTCCGAGTTAAAGGAGAAAAAGCTGATTGCTGTAGGATATGGTAGAATCGGCACGTCTGATACAATAGCACTACAGCATCAAGCGTACCATCAGACCCCATGCACGAACCCCAAGTGGTACTATTGCGTCTGCGGTATCGAGTACTCTACGTACACGAGGACCTACACGTATGAGTTCGGCATAGGCGCCCCAGTGCTGCTCGGCAGTGAACTTGTTGGAATCACCGCAACGCCCTGCGGAACCCTATCAATGAAAAACTTGGGAATTAAATATAACATATTTACCGTCATTGGGCCGTACTTGCCGTGGATACATAAATCTGAAAATAAACCAAACGTAGTTGCTCAAATGCGTAGCAAAAATGCCAGTGGCAAGAAAGCAAATCCGTTACAACTTCTTTGTATATTGATGATGCTTAGTAAATCGCTTTCATGAAAATTAATCACTTGTTTTCCTATTTGCGTAATGAAAGAACTAAAATGATTAAATTAGCACGTGTTCTGATACATATCGACTCGCTAATATTCAGTCGGAAATTAGCATGTATTACGATCTAGAACTAGTGACGGCAGTTAACATCAAAAAGGTGTTAAATAAAAAAGAGATGTGAAACGTTTGGAAGCTCACACATAGTTCGAGCGAGATCCAGTAAGTACACGCATCATGACCATATTACTTTGAACCGATACAGATAATAGCTGCTTGTCCAGTTTATTTTAATGCATCGCAAAAGTGCAATGTACCTCAACTGGTAGTCGTTATATAAACACTTTCATTAATACAGTTGTGAGCTCTCGAGAGAGTGGACTATATACAGTGCATTTGTGTTTTACATTGTGGTATCCAGAAACATTTAAAGAAAACAGGTTGTTTAATTGACACTATTACATTTTTACTTTTCGATTAATTTTTGATACTCCAATCCTTTTTTGTTTTTAGAAATATTCAGTTATTTATTATTTCGATAAAACTTTTTTTGTAATAACCGGTTATCGTGAGACATAGGTACTAAATTAATTACAATATCATTTCTCCATTAGTTCACGTAAGTAGCCGTGCCCATATTATATTGCTTTTGTGTAATAAATATTATTCATTATGAAGTCCCATCCACAATACAAAGACACACTAATTCTGAGATCACCATTATCTTTTATCTTATTGACAAATTGGTGAGATGTTGTCAATAAAAAATTGCTCTAAAACGATAATATTGTCACCTTTGACCCTGGACCCCTTACGATAAGCTAAAATATTTTAGTCCCCAGTGAGTGATCTCATATCGTTAGATGTGTAAAGTTCTTGTAGTAAAGATGTTTGTGAATAAAATAAAAACGAAAATGAATATATTTAAGGTGCTAGTGCGAAACATGAGCCAAGAGAAGAAATGGGAGCCTTTAAAGAAAGTGGGCATCATTGGTGTGCCTTTTGAGAAGGGCCAGAAGAAATATGGCGTCAGCGTGGCACCCGCGGCCCTACGGTATGCCGGTCTCATTCAGCAGCTAAGTGAAATCGGTATTTATTTGTTTTATATTACTAAAATACTTCAACCATAACATATATGCAATCACTATAACATAAAAGAAGTCGTTCTCAATGGCTTAGGTACTTGTTATAAATTTATACTGATAAACAAACACTATTGTGTATCAATAATTTAACTGTGAAATTTGTAAGAACTGTATTAAATAAAAATAATGTGTATTTCATACACTTCTTAGAATTATTCATAATAGCGTAACTTGTAAAATAAGTTCACCACCATGCTTTTATTCAAAGTGATAAAAGATAAAAGTTCGCAAATATGACAATTAATTTCTGACCTATACCCACCAAATAGGTAAACAATGAAATTTTGCGACATTCATCTATTTGTTTACCTACTTTTGATTTCCAATTTCATGAAAGAAGATATGTAGATATTATTAATTCCAATTTAGTTTATAGTTCTTTTGAAGTGATTTTTTTTTTTTATTAGAATTCCATTTTTATATTACACAATGCCCGTGAATAGTTACAAATCATTATAAGTTAATACCTACGTAAGTTGATGAACAAACCGCATTGAGCAGGCGAGGTGATTAATACTCAAACCTTCTCTGTGTGAAAAGAGACCTTTGCTCAGCAGTGGGCATTATAGGTTGTTGCTGATGAGGATGAAGTTGATGAACTTAACCCTAATCTTCCTTAACGTTGTTTTTAAGATGGGCTCGACGTGAAAGACTATGGCGACATAGAAACGCCAGGGATCGAAGAAGTAAAAATGGAGAATATGGCACATTTGGCGCTGGTGTCAGCCTGCAACAAAAAACTGTCAGAACGCGTCTCTCAAGTTCTCAGAGATGACAGAGTCGTTGTCACCATTGGGGGCGACCACTCCATTGGAGTCGGTAAGGCTTAGATATCCTAATTACTATTACTACCGAGCACACAGTCAACAATCATTCTTAAGTCCTTAGGCTAAGAAGCGTTAATAAATGAATTCACATTAACTTATGAAAAGAAATCCTGCTAGTAAATATCTGATATTTTTTCAGATCTATCTCATTAGATGAAATTTGTGTTCTCTTTCCTTCAAATTGCGTCCTCTACATTCTACACGATTTGCCTCCGCCCAAAACATTTAGATAATTTTATCAAAGCATCCCATTTTTTTTTTAATTGGCATAATTTTTGCATCATGTCACACCTCAAAAATAATATTATTCACGATGTTTAATACTACCTGTATCTTTCCTATTCCAGGCACCGTGGACGGCCACTACCAAGTGAACAACGACATGATCCTGATCTGGGTGGACGCTCATGCCGATATCAACACAAATAAAACTTCGGATTCTGGCTCTGTACATGGAATGCCAGTAGCTCTTCTAGTCAAAGAATTCAACAATTATTGGCCTTACCTTCCAACAATGGACTGGCAGGAGCCCTTGTAAGATTTTTTTTTGATAACATAATCCAATGTACACAGCTACACAAACTAATTAGATAGAAATTAGACACAAAATCCCGGCTTCTTTTTCGTATTTTTTTTGTAACTTCCCTCATAATACTTCTGAGGGCTTAGTACGAGTTTCTTTTACGTTTAAAGTAATCGTAACGAGTACGCGTTCAGTGCTTTGATTGGCCGGTGCCAATGAACCAACCAATCAAAGCGCCGAACGCGTTCTCGTTTCGATTACTTTTAACGTAAAACTAACTCGTACTAAGCCCTCAGGTCATCCAAGTAGGTACGCTGTAACGCAATTTAAAATACTTGCTGAGGTTTCCTAAAAAGCTCATACGACAGCCGCGGTTTACTAATCGCAGCAGTATCTACCTATTTACTAATTTTGTGTGCCTAATTAAGTGGTAGATATACCTACCTAATGAGGCATACTATACCTACCTAGATACTAATTAAAAATACTCACGTGAACTATTCGAGAAATGATGACTATTCATGAAAAAGTCCCGGTGTAACTAAAGCTATTAGGTTTTTTTTAAAGGGGGGAAAATCATCGAATGACTGCTCCCGCCTGTGTGAGGCGGGAGGGAGTGTCAGACTCTTACTGACTAAAAACCACCCCGTTCCTTCTCCTGCATGTCGAGCCGGAGCCCCGGTTACCCGTTAGGTTCTCCGCGACTCCGAATCGGCATCGGCCCTGTTGGGCCCCATCTGTGGTAAAGCTATTAGGTAGAGAATTTCTCTAATAGTTCACGTGATTAAACTATTTTTTAATTAACCTGTTTACATGTTTTATTATGTCTGCACCATCTCTTCTCCTTGCAGATTCTCCATAAAGAGCTTAGGATACATAGGCTTGCGATCCGTGGACCATTATGAGAGGCTAGCTATTGAAAAATACAAAGTACCCACATTTGCTATGGAAGACGTTGAAGAGTGAGTACAGTTATTAATGACTAGCACAAACCGTATTCCTGATTTCATTTTAAACTTGTTTTATATTCTTTCATTTAGACATGGAATCAAGAATTCAATAGAGCACGTGCTGAAGAAATTGGATCCTGAAAACAAGCGGCCTATCCACGTTAGCTTCGATATTGATGCCTTGGATGCATTGGAAGCACCCAGCACTGGCACTCCAGGTTTGTAGATACATACATATATACGCTGGAAAACTCCATGTACACACCGGCTACACGTCGAGCTTTACATAACCAGTATAAACTGAACGTTAAATGTGCGGAATGATGATGCGACGCGACACCAGGATAAACTGGTTTTGTATAGATTGATGTGTGGCCGTGTGTACCTATTAAAAGAATTTGAATGTAAAACTTAACTAGATAAATTATTTATAACCGTTTATAAAATAGGTATGATTTATTGATTTATATTAATAAGGCTTACCAACAAGTTAAACACAAACTATGAAAGTCAAGAAATTAACAGAAATATAGACTATTATTTACATCATTTAAAGATATGTACAACATTCAAGTAGATAATTACGTGAATGCCAGAAGTACAAGACAGTGCCCACTAAGTAATTAAGAATACAATGAGTTAAACAGGCCAACATGCATGGGTGTCTTCAGGGCCCGAATGATTAGGTTGCTTATGGGACGACGTGCTTCATCGTAGACCGCATCATCGCTTACCACGAGACAGGATAGTGGTCAAACGTCGGCCCATCAAATATATAAAAAAAACATTGTAAAAGTCTTAAGCAAAATGTATTCATTCAGAGCAAAACATTAATTTCTAACAGTTCGTGGTGGCCTATCACTTCGCGAGGCTATCAATCTCATGGAGATAGTATACGCAACCGGCCGTCTGCGAGCTGTGGACCTCGTAGAGATCAACCCTGCCCTTGGCAACGAAAATGACAGGAAGCAAACCATCGAGGCGGGACTCTGCGTGCTGAAGGCAGCCCTAGGCTTCTCGAGACGCGGCACCGCCCCTCGTGGAGTGAAGGACCTGCCCATACAAGACCATGCTCATTAACGACTGATTAGCACGTAACAACTAAATCATACTATCAACAATGTTACTTCAATGGCAATGTTTCAACAGTTTTCATTTATATTTGATAACGTTTATTTTTTTTAGTTAATCTACATACCTATCTATGGTATACTACTAACTGGTAAACTTATTGAACTATGTACCTATATTTATTAACGGTGTTTAGGTTTACTAAGTATGTAAGTATAACCGGCAAAAAATGTGGCAAATTACTATGATTGTCGTTACATTGACTTGTAACGACCTTGTGCGATGTCGACGTTGATACAAGTACCTAGTTCACAAACTCACAATAAAGTATTATCTAAAGAAGCTGTATTTTATTGCTAGCTGGGTATGTTTCTAGGCATTATAAGAATCGACTTCAAATCAGCGTAACGGACGTGGTTATTGAATTCATAAGCTGAATTTTATTGAGTTTTCCATTATGTTACCAAGATACTCATAACTTGCCTACATGTAATTACTATTTTTATGTTCTTATGAAGATGATTGTTTTTCTGGTGAGTTACTGAATCAATCGGCTGTGGTATAAAGCTATACCAGTAGATATGATAGAAGTTAAACCATTTGTTCATGGTGGTTAAGAAAATAAGTTAATAAGTAATTTTGGTCTCATTATAATTTAACAGCACCGACCTCTTTTTGTATAATTCAAAAATAGTAGTTCCGTATCTGGGTGCGATTAGTATGTATAATATAAATACTTACAAATAAAACTAACAACTGATATAAACAATGATGAGGCAACGATGCTCTATAGTTCTCTACCTCAAGTTAGGACTTAGAGTTAAATTACTTGAGTTTTACAAGATAAGTAGGTACGCACTTATTACGTGCCTACCGCAAATAACATCAGTTATGGACGTACCTATCCTCCTGTATACCTCTGGAAATACCATTTCATTGTATAGATATCTAATAATCTGTCAGTACGTAGTATATTGTTGTATCATAAAATAGTTTACGATTTATTTTAAAGACTAGCTTTTACCCGCGGCTCGCTCGCGTCACAAAAGGATCAAAGTAGCCTATGTGACATATATACACAGCGCCATCTATACCAATGATTTCGTTTTTCCTCGAGGATATCTAATTTTTCCGGGATAAAAGTACCCTATTATTTAATCCAGACTTCTAACTTTACGCCTGCAAAAATTCAAAGCAATCGGTTCAATAGTTACGGCGTGATTGCGGAACAAACAAACAAACAAACTCACTTTCCGAATTTATAATATTAGTAAGGATTTCTTCTTAAATCGGGAATCTTATTTATATGTCGTGAGTTTATCCACATAAGTCTTGCATAAAATACTCTTTTGTGGTTTATGAAATTATTTAACCTTATAAATTACTTACAGATAATAAGCATAATTGCAATAGTTAACTGTCTGGAACCTCTGGTAGACAACAACATAGATGAAGAAACAAAAACTGTATTAAACAAATACATTAATTCAATACCAGATATAGAATCACGTTTCGTTATCGATGATTCATTAACCAAAGTAATAGATTACTATTTTAAAGGGAAAATTAACACATTACCTCTATACAAATTAAGTTTAACTATAGACAGGAATCCAGTAAAGATTCCATGGAGCACAGACCAGGTAGGAGAAAATCATAACAAGGATGAAATACAAAAAGCTTTAAATGAACAACTAGATAAAAAAACGAAGGGAAAACATTATAAAGTGAAGATGATATCAAAATTGTCTATGGCGAAGAAGAAAAGAACAACTGAGCCGCCATTAACGACGGAAGCGACATCTGCACCGTCCGCGTCATCTGCCACTCCTGCGTCCGGCGAAATAGAATAAAACAACATATTTGTTTGGTTACTGCTATTGCTTTTTTATTTCATATTCATTACAATATTTACATCCTTGTTTTTGTACAGAGTAATTATTTTGTTATTTTCGTAGAGAATATGACATATTGAAGATATTTCGGTTTTTTTTTTCGTCTCAAATTAAATAACATGATTTACCTATAAGAATACCTGTTTCTAACTAATCTCTTAAAGTCCATATCTCCTAATTCTAAGATAGGTTAGAATCAAAGTACACTTAAGTTTTAGCCAGATTTGGCTTCGTGTTGGTCAATACAATTTATGCTCCAAAAACAACCTTTGCTGGTGCTAACAGTATTTTAAGAACCATGGTCAACTTTCGATTTCTAGCTACCACTGACGACTATCATACATATTGATACGACTATCATATAATTACGTATCGTTTAACAAATAACAATAACAAAATTCACAGCAATGAAATAAAATGTAAAACTCGTAAACGTGATAGGTTTAAATTCGTCCGAAAATATTCACCTGCATGTAATTGAAAATTAGTTGAAGGCAATATGGTATGATAACAGTTGTGTTTTTCTTTTACCTTTTTTTACATAACAGACAATACACAAGCACACGATACGACCCAAACTTGTACTCATTTATTAAATACGTGCTATACATACATACATCCACACTACAATACATTCATCAACACTTGCTACTAATGATAGACTGCACGTCTTTATTGGGCTTGTTTCACAAACTTTCTGTTAGCTTAACTAACACATATTATAAGATTTTTTATGGAAAATACGTCAAACTATTCTCAGTTACAACAACTTAATCAGAAATTGTGAAACAAGCCCTTTAGAACAATTAGGTACTAAATGTGTAACAAGTAATAATAATAATTATGCGTACGAGTTTTCCTTTCATAAAACGTTTGGACATTGTCAAGTATTTTTTTTTTTACTGGAAAGGCCAATTACCAAGCAATTTGATTATTCAGGTAAGTATGAAAGAACCATACTTCTGCACTCATGGTCCGACCACAGCGATGCCACGGCTTTACAGAAAACCAGCATAAAACAAAGCTCGCGTTGTGATTCGTCGTGTGAGTGAGCTGACCGGAGGTCTAAAATCCCTCCAAAGGCCGCACTTATTCCTCTGGTGTTGCGGATGCCCATGAGCGCCACTGATTGCTTACAATAAAACATAGTTTATTACCATAACTTACAGTCACTATCAGCCTAACCATGACTGGCTATGTCAAGTCAATAGCTCAAAAGTAAATAAACGTCATACTTTCATACATCTGACGATTTATTTACCAACATAACGTGATAACATCTTATTTAATCATATTTGTCGAAAAAAATAACAATTAGTCACAACATCATAGCCAGTCACATACTTTAAATATTGCAAATAAAAACTGAACTAGAAATTTCAATAAAGTATTGTCAAAAATGATGCTAAACGAAACTAAGTTTTTAATTAAATGTATGAAACAATATAAAAACAATTTTACTCTAGTTTAGAAGTTGACTTGAGCTCTATAATGTTTCTGGAACTTATTATTCTTTAGAGACATCTTCATCTGCCACTTGGCTTGTACACGTTTCATGAAGTGAATGTCACGTGCTTTCCTGGAAAATAATTATATTCATTAGAGAATCATACAATTTTGTATGTCAAATTCCATAATCAAAATTTTTTTGACCTAATATGTTTTAGTTTAGTTGTAAAACAAGTACATTTTTATCGTAATAAATCTAGAAATTCATGAATTTTGAGAATGTAAGCCCATTAGCTGTTATGATGAAATATGAATATCCCAACACTATCTACAACATACAAGTTTACTGTTTACAGATATATTTATTGAATACCAGATTCTTCCAGCGGCTTCGCCCGCGGTCTCGTGGGATAAAAGTAGTCTATGTGTTTTCCAGTCCATTATCTATCCCTGTTCCAAATTTCATTTCATTCAGTTCCAATGTTCCATATCCCATCAGCCATTTTGATGTGAAGGAGTAACAAACAAACATACAAACTTTCACATTTATAATAATACTAGCTGTTGCCGGCGACTTCGTATGCACAATCCCATTTTTCCCCGTACCCGTTCGTGATTTTCGGTGAAAAGTAAAAAACAGTATTGCATAAAAGTTATCCAAAATCTGTATCCTGGTTCTAAGCTACCTCCCCAGCAATTTTCATCCAAATCGATGTAGCCGTTCTTAAGTTATAAATAGTGTAATTAAAACGACTTTCTTTTATACATATACAGAAGATTAGTAGGATTTGATTATTGACACTTACTTAGCAGCCAAGGCTTGTTCTTTGGGCGCCCAGCCGAGTGCTCTGTAGACACCAAGCAACCTGTGCAACTTGCGATCCGACTTCTTCACTAGAGCCTGACTGTTCTGAGTCAAGTTTTGTTTGTAATATCTGTAAAACAACAAAATTTAATAACTAAGCAATCTTGATATACATATTCTGTTTATTTAGTAAAACATACATTACTGATAAATTATATATTGATAAACATTATATACAGATAGTGACCTCTATTTTATCATAGCATTTAATAATTATACTAAGTTCTTAACTGACATGCTATTATATAGCTAATTGCTTTCAAATGACTTATATTATAATTTAATTGGAGCTGCAATTTGTTTCATCCAAAACTTTCCGATTTAAAGGTCATAATTAACCATTTATGCCGCGCACGCAATATGTTCTACTGCGATGAAGCAGGCTCAACAATAAACAATAATAAGCAATTTACGTTTCATATATCGCAAGTTTCTAAATGTGTTATCTATTCATATTTCGACAATGACGTAATATATTGTTTTGTTCATATTTTATTTATGTTTCTATTAGATAATAAAAATAACGATATTTCAAGGCAGCTGTTTCTACTTGTATGTGCATAACTTTTTAAGATCTACCTAGCAATAAAATTAAAATGTTGTGTGCATTAACCCTTCGTGTGTCTAACGTGGATCTACGCGAGACACAATGTATTATCTACTGTGTGTCATATCGGTGCGTTCAAGCAGTTAAATTAAGGGCTTCAATACACTTCTGATATTTTTTCAAATAAGTATCAACTTCTAGGATAATGTGGTTACTGAAACACCTGTGTAAACATTTCACAAGTAACATATTACGCAATATGTTAAAAACTTACTTCATAAGGGAGCGGTGGCCGACTACAACCCCAGAAGGTAGTACCAACTGGAAGTCATCACCCTGTAGTGTTGTGGGGGCTTCTACTTCATCATCCACATCCATACCATCTTCCTCATCCTCATCCTCTTGATGGTCTGGGTATGAAGAGCTATAAGAACATGTGGAAAAATTATAAGACATTTCTTTTGTGTGAGATCTTACAAGTCAATTCATTGTTTTTAGTAGTACAAGCATTTAGTTTGTTTAACAATACAGTCTTAGAGCCAGCTTGTACTATTACTAGTAGCTATTTAAGTTAGGTAATTCAATTTATAGTTTTTACAGTTCATCATCATCATCATCATCAACAGCCTATAAATGGACACTGTTGACCAAAGGTCTCTTCTCACACGGAGAAGGTTTGAACAGCATGATTTCAAACTTATAATTCAAAATTATAAGCCCAGGTTTCCGCACGATGTTTTCCTTCACTGTTTGTTAGTGGTGTCCAGATAATCTTAGAAAGTACTTATAACTCGGAAAAAGTCACATCATTGATACATACTGTTGGTAGGTTTCAAACCCACATTCTCATGCATGAGAAGCAGGCGTCTGAAACCTCCGGACCACAACAAGTTTTTACAGTTAATGTTTTGAGAAAACTTGTGAATAAAATATAATTTGTTGGATATAAAATCTATTGATGCACACCTGACTGCAAGATTAGTTCAGAGCTCAGTTTTCAAATTTAGAATTTATGTTACCTGTAGTCATAATAATCAGCATACTCTGCAAGGGCTAGGCCTTCGTGCAACATTTTACAATGTCCTTTGTCAATCATATGCCTTCGAACAGCTTCCATAGAGTAAAATGTTCGGCCAGTGTCATTACACCAGAGGCACATGTAACCCTGTGATATCTGTGAAGTAGACAACAATTTTTTTTTTGTATTCCGATCTAAATCTACCCACAATGTTTCAGGATATATTAAATCATAACTAATATTCATTAATTCATATTATACTGTCTGAAATAAAGCTACACTCAGTAAGGTAGTATGATTTATAAAAGAACTGGTCATATTTATAAGACTTCTATTTTTACAGTGACTTATATATAATATTTCTTTTACAACTTATTTGCAATATGGGTTTGAGTTTAAAGAGTACGAGATGTGTTTACAAACACGACCCTTATACATATTAGTCACTTCAGGATACAATGTTCACATACAACATCAACAGCCACAGCTGTCCAAAAGCCTCTTCTCACACAGAGAAGGTTTGAGCATTAATCACCACGCTTGCTCAATGCCGTTTGGCAATTTCAAACTTATAATTACACATTATGAGCTTAGGTATCCTCACAATGTTTTCCTTTACCATTTGTCAGTAGTGTCTAAATAACATTAGAAAGTACAAATAACTCGGAAAACGTCACATTGGTACTTGCTGTTGGTAGGTTTCGAACTCACACCCTCATTCACAAGAGAACTTAAATGTCTGGGCCACCACAACTCTTTTGTTGACACACATTAATGTGTGTGAGTTCTGGGAGTGTAACACACATGTTTTGCAAACAATATACCAACTGCTAAATGGCAAATATAAATCCTTACCTTTTCTCCCAAATACAAAAGAAGGTCTTTTATATTAATACAGTACTCTACATCTGGTATGAAGAATGAATGGGCCTCAGACATGTGCTTGAGATTCTTGACTATGTTCTTACTATGATGGCCACAGAACAAACAGTCCCGAGGCTTGATCAGAGAGTCGCTGCCTTTAATACGACACTCCTCCCACTCATCCGAGTCAAGCTAGAACATTTAAGTGAAGTTTATAAAATAATTTAAAAAATAATTTTATAAAAGGTCAACTAATGGATTCATGTGGTAATGACGAAGCAAAAATATCATATTAAAAGTGATAAGATTGAAATATGAATATAATAGTAACTACCATTGCACAATACAATGAAATGTTTGTATATGGGTAATCCATCCTCATAAAGAACATACCTCTTCAATTTCGGAATCTGTTTCTATGTCCTCCTCTCCGGAATCGTCAGCAGACACAATAACAAACTTGCTAGGATCCTTGGAAACATTAGCACTAGGCTCAACCTTTACAAAACTATCTGTATCAGAATGACCACTTTCTTCTTCTTTATTTTCAACATACCGCTCCTCAGACAATTTGTGCTTCTTACTATTCAAATGATTGTCGAAGGCATTTTTTGTGTTAAATAACTTTGAACAATACTTGCAGTACTGCGATTCATCGCGGCTTTCATTCTGACTCTGTTCTTTATGCTCCTTCACTCGCTGCTCAAACTCTTCCAAAGTAACAGGCGATATTGAAGCAACCTTCCTTTTCAAATTATACCTGTGCCAGTCCTGTTTATAATGTTCACGTTGTAATTCAGGCGTTTTGAACATCACCTGGCAGGTTATGCAAGTAAAGGTATCAGGCATTGTTACAATTTTATTATATTTCACACGATTTACAACAATGATGTATCACAGCCGAATGAACACTAGAATTGGTTTGTCAAGACTTATTAAATATATTCTAATGAGAAATTGAGGAATGATTTTAAATGATAAGTTGAACGAAAAACGTACAAATACGCACATAGATTGAAGGCCCACTAGTGATGCTACTATGACAGAAACATCTAGGACGTATCAACTCGACTATTTTAGTCACAGAAAGCTTTCGTTTTAGATTAGTGTTATTATTAGTTTTTGTTATCTGGAGACTGGGAAGAACACTAAGGACTGTCTTCTGGAAGACATATCCACGTGTACCGTTTCTGTCTCACGCCGTTGACTCTAAAGTCCATATTCTTGCGCAACCCCTGATCTCTTGGCGACCTCTCTTGACAGGCCCTAGGCTGACCACCTCTGACCCTCACGCTTCGATTTTGGAACAGGAGCAAGAGAGAGTTTCTAAATACTTACTACTCGACTAAAACACTAAAATAGTGTGTAACAAGGTGCATAGAGGAGTGACAGTGACGTATTGTATCAAATGACATTGACAATAATCTGAATCATCAATCAAACAAAACTGAAAACATTGACGATTGACGAGTGAATTGAGGTGCCGATTGGATTGCGATTTACTAATTTTATTTGATTAATGACTTTTCTTTACATAATTTTACAACGACGGCAGTCTAATCACCATGGGGATAGTTGCTAAAGATAATTTCCGGTACTATGTGGACTAGAGTTAAAATAAACTAATTTTATGGAGTCACTGACCCGCAGCAACTCTGTACAAATATACAATACCTACGACAGAATTGGCTGACCTCTTATCGCAATCACAATTAGGTATTTGTGAAAGTAATATTGTTTATGTAAAATAATTTTATTTGAATACTAGGATGTTAGAAACGGAAGAAGTTGATGATGATTTCTTCACTCCAGTAGCTGGGTAAGTCTAATCTTAATAAAATAATGTTTATTGTAGAAAAGTATGTGTCAAAATTTGTGAAGTCAATGTACTCATAGAATGTGAACACTTTATTCATCTATTAATGCTTATATTTCAGTGCTTCTTTGGCCAACATATTTGGAAGTGCCGTAAAAATCAATGAAGAAAAATCAAATGACTCATTAAAGTATGTACCCCCTAAGCCTCAAAACATTCCGCCGAAACAAGAGCAAACTAAAAGCACTGAATGTATATTTGCATGTGCTCTTATTGGACATGAATGGTAAGATTAGATTATTACAACTAACATTTTAAAAATTGATATTTATCAATCTGATCTTTGATACATGAGTAGATACAGACCATAAATTCTGCATTAATGAATATTTTAATTTAGAATATGCTATATTTATAAAAGCTATTGTAAAATATGTTATGTAAATATTATATTTAGAAACTACTTATTTGCCTAAGTTATTCTATTGAATATATATTATAATAGATTTTTTTATACTTTTCAGGTTCAATAATATCTACACATCGAGAGGAAAAATAGGTTTTGCTATTGTTAAGATTCAAAAGACTGCCATCCACAATATTGTGCTTTATGACTCTAATAAGACTACCTTGTCCTGTACCACAGTATCAAGTAATTTAGAGATAACTATAAAAAACAATACATACATCTCATATTATGATAATCTGAAAAAGTACTGGAGCATTTATGGTACAAAAGATGAAGTTAACAAAATTGCAGAACATTTGTCTAAATTGGATGTCAAGATTCAATATTCTTCTTATACAGAACAAGGCCCACCAGAACCTGCTAAACTAGATACTAAAACAGATGCAGCATCAGAACAAAGTGAGAAAATTGATAAAGGAAGTGATACTGACTCTTCTATAAACAGAAAAACAAAAGCTTCTATTTTGAACAGAATGGCGAACATGGGTCATTCAGTGCTACCAACTAGAACTGTCTCTGTGGAGAGGACCAGTGACTCATCAGACACAATGGAAACTGAGATTCAACCAAAACATGTCAGACATAAACCAATTAAAAGTGTAATGAAAAAGAGTAATATAGAAAATGTGACAGAGGCACAACTAGTAAGTGAAACACACCAGAGAACAATGGTGCCAAAAACTGAGTCAGTTGCTAACATTCCATTTTATCCATCTTCTGGAAGCCAGTTAATACCTATTTCAAGCACAAATATCATAACAGGACCTAATGCAGACTTTGGCATGTTTATGTCTGAACAAAGGATAAGCAATAGTGAGTTAAGAATAAACATGAATAGGATAACTGACAAAGTGGACTCTGTCTTAGACAAAATTAACAAATTCGAACAAAAAGAAAACTCCAATATTCAAACAGATATATTAATGAAATTACTCTCAGAGTATGAAAATAAAATTAAGATTTATGAAGAATTACTTAAATCTAGAAATGTGAATAATGCTGAAAATGTGACAACTTCAAATATTTGCCAGAATGATAATCAAATAGAAATTTTAACAAAGAAAATATCAGAATTGGAAAAGATTAACCAAAACAAAACCAATGAACTAACACATCTGCAAAATGAAATCGAACTCTTGAAGTCACAATATGCTGAACAAAATATTAAGCGTGATAACAATGAAGGTGCACTTCACCAAAAAATTAATAATTTAGAAAGCAGTTTACAAGCAAAAGATGATGAATTAAAAGAAATTCGTGAAAAATTGGCCAATAAAACAAATGACATAGAAGATAATATTGAGGACAAAGTTAAAAATATTATGAATGTAACATTTCAAACAGTTTCCTCTAAATTTGATAATAGTGAAGTTTATTCGGGAATCCTAGTCAAGCAAATCATTGGAGCAATAATTAAAAAAATAACTATGCAAACATTAAGAGAATTATAACTAAAATGTTTTTTATCTTCCAGTGTTTTTCTTAGACAATAAGTAACGGTCCACTGTTTTAACTAAAGAATAATATACATACATATAACAATATATAAAAAACCACCTTTACCTTTTATTTAAATAAAATATGTATACGTAAACAAAAACTTTAATTTTAGGCACTCTGTGCCGGTTCCAGTAAAACCATCATCTTAATTATTATGAATGGATTGTGTATTCCATATTTTTTAATACGTTTTAACCACAATGCGTCGACTACATTTTAATTGCTACTGTTTTTGCTCTCGGTCTTCGTCCATTATGGAATTAGCTAGTGTCACACGACTGGACAAAAAATCCTTTTGCTAGATTAACGCCATCTTATGAGCAAGAATTCGGTAGCCCCCATTATAATATGTATAGCTAATAGTAACAATCCGACAATAGACAATTCTTAGTAGAATACTGTGAAAAGTTTTCACATGACACAACACAACCTACGTCAACGTCAAGTTCAAATGTCAAATCAGCAGACAAGTTGTACTGTTGCTGTTAATCAAAATCAAAATTAACACAGAGTTGAGAGTACATTTTGTATTTATGTATATGTTAATTATATCTTAAACTTAAAGCAGACGTATATGTTATGCTTTGTCGTTATAAATATTACTAACTTATGAAAGGCTTAACTCTAACGTGCGCTAGCTCCAACCTGTGACTTTTGAGACTTGAATACAATAGATTACATGAGCAATCATGGATGATTTACAAAAATCATTAGAGCAGTATGAAGAACAGGTAAACATGTTCTATATCAACATAACTTTATGGATCACAAATACATACATACATAGGTAATTAACAAAACTAAAGCAAACCTATATTAACATAAAACATAATTTCAGCTTGCAATGGTCACACTATCACTGGAAACTGTTACTGAATCTGCAGAAAGAGAATCTTTACTATCTTTGAAATCAGATTTAGAACAACTTATACAACTGACTAGAGAAAACTTAGATGCTATAGTACCTAAAAACACAGAAACCGCTGGGACTCAGGCTTCTGAAACTAAAGATGAATTGGATGATGAGTATGCTTTGTTTATGGTAAATATTAGAATATGGTACAATATAATATTTGGCTGTTTGTATGTCATTACATTGTCACTGTTTAATTATCATAGTTGTTTTTCAGCAAGAGATGGCCAAAAGTGGTGCATATGAGACATCTAAAGAGGCTACATCTGAAAACAGCAAAGATGTGCCTAATGGTGATGATAGTGATATAGAGGTAGTTTACTTCATAATGGTGTACTAGTCATTTGGTAAAATATTGTGCAAAATTCACTAAGTAGTTTTAACATTTCTTAGGATGAGTTGTCTTCACTATTGGGCATGAAATGTGCAGTGTATCATACACACAAGTGGGGCGGTCAACCTGGACTTTACAATGCTATGGTCAGTGCAGTAGTGCCCCGACAAGATGAAGACCAGTTCCAAGATCTACAGGTTAATTTGTTTCAAATATTAAAAAAATAATATTTTAAAATATTATTATCTATTTTAGAATTAGTCTATTACTAATATACTTTATTTAGTCTATTCTATTCTTCCAACCGGTCTATCTGGAAGTCATTGGGGGAGGCCTATGTTTAGCAGTGGATGTCCTGTGGCTGATATGATGATGATGAAAATACTAGTATTGTCAACCAAAGGCACAAATGTCTTTATTAAAATTATACTTTACCATATTTATAGGTTCGTGTCCTATTCACTCATCCTACACATGCAGAGATGTTGCCTTGTCCATTTTATCTTGATGGTGAATGTAAATTCAGTGATGAACAGTGTAGGTGAGTGCAATGTACTTCATTGATCCATATAGGTATGCAAATTTCAAATGCCTTTACAACCAATTAAAATAATGTAAAATGGAAGATTAATTACCTTTTTGTTGACTTTTCAACAACATTCAACAAAACTGCTAATCATTTCTGATTTCAGATATTCCCATGGTGCTTTAGTACAATTATCGAATTTAAAGGAAGCAATAGAACCTGACTTTAGTTCAATTAGAGTAGGAAGTAGGATATTGATGAAAATTAAACCACCAGATGACGAGGTAAGAAATTAAAAATTCTCTCCCTAATATATTTTGACACATTTTGTATGGAGCTTATGTCAAAATTCTATCTCAGAGTATCTCAGTAAGCAAATGTACAGATAGATAGGTTATAGTCTTTAACCTATTCCACTTCCCACTTATACCTATTCTATAATTTTAGAAAATGTCCGTAAGTAGACATTCCTGGTTTGTGGTCTGGGTGTAATATGCATATGAAATTCTAGAATCATAAAAACCAAACAAGAAGTAAGTATCCAAATTCATAATCTTTCTTTTTTATTACAGGACATAAGTTTAGCAAAAAAATCTACTGAAAAGTACCACTTATGGCACAGAGGAATCATCAAGAACATAGATTTAGAGAAACGAATCTGTTCAGTAAAGTTGGAGCATGGTGTACAAGCAGGAGAGAAAAGGAAACAAGGCAGTGATGAATATAAAGTTAAAATTGAAGACATTTTTCCATTAAATAGTAAGTATTTTTATTTATTGCATGCATTAATTTATTTAGTAATTTTTAAGGAAGGAGACATGACTAGATTTTACAATATGCTATTTTATCCGTGCTTAGGTTTACTAGTAGTTCATTATTGAATACAATATAACTCATTAAATGTATTGAAGACCCTAGAAATATGCGCCTTTCTTTTATGTAATCCTAGCTACTTCGGCGCATCTTCACCCGCTCTGCTCAGCGCCTATTAATCGTAGCGTGATGTTTTATAGCCTACAGCGTTCCTCGATCTCTCGATCCAAAACAAAAAGATTTAACTAAAAATCGCGGGTTACTCAAGTGAAAATACTGAGAAAAGCTACTAGTTTCGAAACATAGGGGTTCTTCCTCATGAGCAGCAGCGCGGTCGCGGCGATGTCGCGCAGCCTAAAGTCTGCGGTGCGTCTGTGGTTCGAAACTAGTAGAGGGTTTTTATAAGTATTTTCACGTGAGTCACCCGCGATTTTTAGTTAATTTAGTATGGCTCACGATAATTATTATAAAGAGAAAAAAAAAATTAATATTAGACCAGTAGTTCCTGAGATTGGCGCGTTCAAACAAACACACAAACTTTTCAGCTTTATGTAATAGTAATAAGATATAAGATTTTTAAAAAATGTATTTCAATTTGTTGATTCATATTACTTAATTTGCGTTTATTTCATTTTGTAAAGATGACGATGAAGACGATAGTGAAGACTCAGATGATAGTTTGAGTGACACAGAATATCCACAAAGTAAAACAATGTGTGAAGATAAAGCGGTTGACAACCATGCACTATTGGTTGAAAGGAGTTTTCTCAATGAAAACAAATCTCCTATGGGAGAGTGGGAGAGACATACTAGAGTGAGTATGTATTTATTTGATACGATAATCACTTTGATGTTACAAAACAAAAATGATGGCTAATAAGTTTTTGTCTTTAACAGGGCATTGGTTCAAAAATTATGTTAGCAATGGGCTATGTACCAGGGACGGGATTGGGTGCGTCAAGCGATGGTCGTGTCCAGCCGGTTGAAGCTCGCGTTCTTCCAGTTGGCAAGAGTCTTGACCAATGCATGGCCATTTCCGAAAAAAATGCATCTCAAGACCCATTAAAGGTAAAAATGATTATTGTTTCTTAATTCATATTTTTATTTTGAAGCAGGAAACATGTATTATACAAATTCCGATTTTATTTTTAGGTGGAACAAAAGCTCCGAAGATTACAGAAGAAAGAAGAAGAGCGCAACAAAAGAGCATACGAGAGAGAGAAGGAGAAGGAAAGACGAAATGTATTCAACTTTCTTAACAAAACTCTAGGCGATAAGACAGAGGCTGATAATGAACCTGAAAGTTCTTTGGATGTCAAACAGTCTTCAAGCAAAGACTTGAATATTGAACAGTTTAAAATAACTGAAGACAAAAAGCGAATTGAAAGGGAAATAATCAAACTGAATAGTTCATTAATCAAATATCCAAATGGATCGAATGGTCACAGAAGTATTAACATGCAGATTATTGAGAAAAATAAAGAATTAAATAATCTTGTGCAGAAAGAAAAACAAATATCTAAGGAACAATCACACAGGAAAGATAAACAGAAAATGACAGTTTTTTAACAAATGTTTGTTTTAGGGTAACAATTTGTTGAAATTAAGTGGAATTACTTAAAATGTGGAATAATATTAGATAAATAAATTGTGTTAAGAGTTTTTTGCTTTTCTAATGGTTTACTTCACTAAAGTACTCTTGTTTAAGTTTCCAGTTCTTAATAATATTGAAGAACATGTATTTAGGACCTACAGCGTAAATAATACACGCATAATCAAAGTACACTTAAAATGCACTACCAGTGGATAAGACTAAAAGAAAACATGAAACAATAAGAAAACACAAATAATCAGTCATGTTCGCGGAGGCAGGAGTGACAAGGTCAGGACCATGAAATATATCTTATGTTAGTTTAGAAAAACGATGCGGGATTGGTAGCCTAACTATGTATATTTAATATAGTAAGGTTGAAAGCGTTTCAACGTGACGGGTGAGTTCCGCCTTTTGTAAGAGAAAGTATTGTGGTGTCAGAAGTAGATGCCAGTTGGCAACATTAATGAAACACTTTGATAATTACAAATTTCTATATTTACATACGTGATGTTTAGTTTAAAATAAGCGTACATGGCATAAAATTACAATTAATATATGACATATTTTTCTATAAATTAGATATTTGTACTATCGATCAATATTAACAAAGTACTTAAAATGTTAATGGGCGTGTGTGACTAGCAAATAACATTTGCTGATTTTTATAATTACGAATTAGATTTTAGTGACAGTGGGTCAAATATGTTTACCACTAAGCTACTCAATATTATAGTTATACCTAAATTAGGTATGGAATTGTGGCTTCAATCACCTAATTCTATATTTATCCACTTGCAAGCATTAACTCCGATTCACATTAGATATTTTTAGAAAAGGTACAATTTATTATAATTAAAAATGAGTATAAGATGTTAATTATTATAAATTTTAACTTTGCATTGCCATAATTCAAATAATAACTACTAAAATCCCTTAATGTTGCTACGTGAGCAAGATATTTGTACTTTTCCTCAATGAAATTTTCTTAAAGTGCTGTCGTCTACATAAGCATTCGTTCATGCAATAAAATGTAATTCTAAACAAGATTTAGGATTTGGCTAGTAGACCCACTGTGCAGTTCCCGGGACTACTTGGCTGAATTAAAAGTCAACACCAACATCAGTCCCAGTAAAACAAGATCAACATAACACCGTATATATTCATTTATTGCTCAAGACCAACAATATGTCACATGTACGCACAAGTCGAATCATTTGACCCAAGAATCTACTAACTCTCATATGTCTATCATTCTCTTTCTAAACCATACACTAAGAAAGTCACGAGTCATAATTAGAGAGAGCAAACTATTTTAAGGACACTTTGATTCAAACAAGGTCTTCAGATTGATCAAACTTGAAATAATTGTACATCTTTATGTGACAATATTGTTCCATAACATTAACATGAGACTGTTACCTGTACCTGTTTGCAACAATACTAATATGTATGTATAGTTATCATCTAATTATATGCTTATGCATTGATAGTTCACTATAAAATTTCCTAGACAAATTCATCACAGAGATTTGTTATATCCTCATCAAGATTACCTTATTACCTTCACCATCCATTCTCGCGCATACATTCATAACATTTATTTTAATATCTATTTATTACATTAGATAATGCAATAGAGAGTAATGAAGTAAAAGAGAGACATTCTTTGTACTAAACTAAACGTCTTGAAATTAATAAGTACACTCATATGAGACTCTTCGCCACTCAAGTAAAATTAATATTACCCTATGATTTATGATGAATTACATTTGTGATGTCTTTATTTCGTGAGTTGTGATTTGCCGCTTCCTCAAACATCGCCATGAGATGCACACGATACTAATCGTGATCACAACTAAGGTGCCAATTCTTGAGATGAGATTCGCTTCAACTAGCGTTGTGCTTATTACTCTATTATTATAAATTCGAAGCGGCGGATTTTAGTAAACAACAGACAGCTATCACTGGCCTGTATTAAATTATTTCGATATACCGATAAAAATCGATACTCGAGAAGATAACATAGTTATCTTTTATATATGAATATAATTAAGGTATGTGGGTCCCGAGGACGAGCACAGAGTGGTGCTATAGCGTCGCCCGAAGTCGACTGATGACGCACGCCATGGCCGCGTCCACATTGTCGAATACTGGGACACCGGACCGCTTCGCCAGGTCCGAGAGGTAGTGCCGGCCCCGATTGTAATCCTTCACGGCTACTTCACTATACTGTAACAATATAATTACGTCATCAGAATGTGGCGATGATGAATGAATGTAATTGTTACTTTGATATCTTATTATGTATCTTTATAGGCAGTGGTCAGAGATATAGCTTACATTATGAGCTTTCTGTGGGTCCATAGGTTGCACCAGCAGTACAGTGTTGGCTGGTCGCAAGCCCATGTAGTGGGCTGCCAGAACCATCGCCGCAAAACACGGCGCATCCGCACTCATCGCGAAAACTAACACGCGTGACCCCAGTAATAGATCTTCATCGTATGTCCCTGTAAGTAAGTAGCTTGTTAGAAATGTCACCAAGGAACAATAGTTTGTTTGAAGAATTATAAGAATTGAAGTTTTCAATTGGATGACGTGACGTTACAATCCCAAGTATCTTGAAATACGAGCACGAAGAAGTGACATCAACCGGTAGCACATAAAATAATGTTTATACACAATAGTGTGCAGCAATACCTTTGAAAGGCTGTGGCGTGATGTCTTCCGAGACGGTGTAGAAGTCGGAAGCGCTGAGTCGGTCGTGGCGGTCGTGTCGGTCGGGCGTGTCGGCGGAGCGGTCGCGGAGCTGCACGTCGTCGGGCAGGTCGAGCGTGGCGGGGCGCGGCTTCTTGTCGCGGCGCGGGGACTCGGGGTGCGCGGGCGCCGCGCGCCGCGCCGGCGTCGAGAACATGCGCGTGTAGTCGCACGCGCGGGGCACTACGTACGTGAAACCCTCGCGTCGTAACACGTCCTCTGGACGACTGCTGTGCATCTGCAATAAGTGTGCTGGTTACTAATACTGTATGGGGAACAGGTTCTTTTCGTTTGATAGTGATAGTGCTGACCAAAATTACTTCAATCAAGTTTAAGCGTCACTGATTCGTATATTCGGATTGTATTTGAAAAAAAAACCCTAATTAGAATTGGAGCTCATTATTGTTGGTATGTTACCGGGAAGGTGCCGCCGAGGTAGACGTCGTGCGTGGGCGCGCCGAGCATGGCTGGCAGGCGCTGCAGGCGGCGCTCGGTGCCCGGCGTGAACACGGCGTCGCTGTCCGCCGCGCCGCCCGCCGCCACGCACCCACTGCTCTCCGCTGGACGGTGACCGCCGTTCTATAAAACAAAACATATGCCTTTAAATAACTAAGCTATTAATCATGCCTTTCTGTTAAATTTGACGTTTCACAATAACAGCAATTCATGATTCATTCAAACCGAACAATTCATTAGAATTTTGAAGTGTTTCGTACCTTAGGAATGAATAAACCGAGCTTTCGCCCGTAGGCCTTTAGCCGGGGATTTACAAGCCGCAGTCCATTGCTGGTGACATCCCTCGCCGCAGGTTCATGCACTCGTGGCTCACTGCGGAGCTCGTCGCTCGTCGCCTCACTCTCCTGGCCATTGTTACGACTTTGGTATTCTACAAGCAAATTACATTTCCATATTAATAAAAGGTATGATATTTGCTAACAGATCAACACAAGTACAAACCAAATCAAAGTCACTTCTTTGTGGAATATTTAAAGTATGGAAATGACAGAAAGTGGCAAGCAATGAAACGCATTGACAAATAGAGTAAATATGGCAATTTATTGGCCTTTACACCATATATCGCAATATTGACTAAAACTTTTCGAGAAGCTACGTAAGCTGGCATTAAACAGATAAAATTAACTTTAGGCATTTAGAGCACAAAAGAGATTAAAATTAAAATGAGAAATGTATGAATCAAGTGAAGCGTGGGAGGCTACTCCATATACAGCGGCTCAGTATCGGTGGCAGGTGGCAGGTAGACGGTAAATGCAAGCACATTAAAGTCCATTCGTTATGAATTGTTGGTCTAAGCCGAGAAGTGGATGTGCTGATGAGATGAGATGTATAGCAGCAGAGTGCGCACACGCACCGGGAGTGGGCGGGGAGAGGTAAGCGCGCAGCGAACGAAACGCACGGCGCACGCGCGACGCCACGCCCTCACTGTCCGCCGCCACCGCCGCGGGCGCCGGGCTACAGCGCCCTTCAACAAACACCACCCTTACCACATACCCGCCACCCAAAACTTCTCAACCACCTACGATATGACCACGTCAAACATTGATCGTAAAACACTGCCAAATCTTCTGCTGGTGTTTGTGCAATTAATCGCCAGTATCTACTGTACTGGAGCGATAACATTGAAAATGACAACATAAACGGCTTATTAAAATAACTTTATGGATGTAACATTGGCAGAAAACGACAGCGTTTTAACGATCGTTATAGACACAAAGTGGTAATAATACTGACCTGCGTCGGCGGCGAGTTCGGCGACAGCTGCGCAGAAGGTCTCGAAGTCGATGGTGTCAGCGGACGGAGGTAAACAACGTTCGGCGAGTTCTTTCGAAGCCCTGGGGGCCTAAAAAGGTAACATTGGGTGAATCATTTCTAATATGACAGATTTGATGAATTGTTAGAGAATCACCTAAATCACCATAAAATGGTAACAATAAAATATGAAACACCTTCAATTCATTTCATAACTGAATCATATTAGATGCCGATGTTGCTACATAAGAAATATATAGAGAAAAACCGAACCGTAACTTTACCGGTTTTGTTTATCTTGTGTTTTATTATAACTTAAATTAAAAATTTCGATCCTGAATGTTTTTTAATTATAATATTTTCTCATATCTATCAAGAAACTAGAAAATCCATTAAAATACAGTGTGAAAACTACATACAGTATTTGATTTTGTTTTTCTTATTTCCTTTTTGCTGGCAATGACTCGTGCTCATACGTCACGTCAGTCAGTCACTGTCAGAATAACAGTAAATTTAAACTTCATTTAAACAAACAAATTTGTAAAAAAATATTAAACTCTTTAACTTAGACATTATTTCATTGGGAAGTAAGTAACAGTAAATAGAGTTCGAGATGTGAATGGAATTCGAGAAGTAAATTGATACAGAAAAGGGCTCCTCCCTTACCAAGGCGAAGATTGAACGCTATGGATTTTATCTATTAAGAAATAATACACGTTAAAAGGTAAATATAATTATTTGTTACTAGCTTATTTGTGTACTTAATACTAGTCATTAATACCGAGCCAGACACTCAACAACGGCACTACGCCCAAAAACATTGTCGGCCTCGGAATACTGTGGAAAGGTGTATCGAAGTACTCAAATCTTGC